TGAAGCCTGGCACGTCCAAGGGAACTAAACATTATGAATCTTAGGGCAAATCAAAGACCTATTCTAATCATTTTATGAAATGTTTCCTTTCTTTTCATTCTTCTAGTCTAGACCATTGAATGCTCAATGAACATCCTCGAAGTTACAATCAGAACGGAGCCATTAAGATAGTTAAAATCGCCCATTCTTGTCAAATTCTTTTCACTCAGTTTTTGACCTCCCCAGAAACGCATAGCAAAAATGAAACCCATTTTTGTGATCCTTGTATGGACCCCTACAACAAGCAACAAACCATTTCCAAAAAGCGCGCCACGACCTGAAAGACCTCCCTTGTAAGAGCAATGGCTTGTGCAGATCCTGGAGTATTCAGGGGTCTAAGAATGAAAAATTCAATGAATTTGTGAGGCGATTCAAGAGGAAGTATGAGGGAGTAGTGAAGTGTGAGGACACCCTTTTGGAGATCCTGAGTGATGACCACCTAGGCGGAAGGGCGAAAAACATGTACAAGGCGCTGCCCAGGCTGGTAAGAAGATCATGGATTTGGAGCAGTCATGAGAGAGATGTCTAGGCTGCCGCAGCAGGAGTCCACGGCTGGTAAGCTTACAACTTCTATCAGGAGCGAGAATTTCGCGGTTTCCGTTGCCTTGATGATTTATTGCGGTTTAATAATTGGTATCTTCAATTTTGGTGAATGCACGAAAATGAGTCACACAGGTTGGTATATGGAAGAGAACCGACCCTTGAGGCCAAACGCCGTAAACCCTTGCTCTCTTATTAACGTCGAAAATGAAATAGCTCATAATGCTTAATCTTTTAGTTTTCAAATTCATCGAGCTGGCTCCAAAACATAAGATGCGTATCGATTTTGCTGGCGAAAAACGCCAGGGCGGTCGAGCTAGCGTTTCGCGAAGGCGAAAAACGCCGCGGTTTGGCGAAACGCCCGTCGATACGTATCAAAACTTTCGCCCAACCGCCAGACTCTTCGCCCAACCGCCAATCGATACGTATCGAAAGCTTTTCGCCGGAACCGCTTCTTTCCAGAGAAACGCTCGGCCGCATACTGTGAACAATGCCTTAGGGGGAGCATTTTGCACGTCGACTAGTTTCTTTTGTTAGTTCTTAGTGAATTACCCATCTCGTTTTGGTGAAACCTGTGACTTTGTCATGTATAAACGAAGCTCATGCTGTTGCATAGCTTTACAGAAATTTATTTATTTACTTCCCTTGCTTGTGATCGCCTTTTTTTAGGTATGGGTCACCTCGGTTAGAGAAGTTCGAACGGATTTTCAATCGCGAGATGTGGTGGGTGGCGACTGAAGTATGTTCCGAACGACACTTATCAAGAAAATTATCAAGATAGCCAGGTAGGTCCAAAAACATCTTCGGTTAAGAACTCGATCCTGATGTATTGTCCACTCAGACATTGTCGAGAGCTGCGTTATTTCAATTTTGCTGTTATGAGTGGTTTGGACAAGCCGGCTCTGCGAAGGCTGCACTCAACTTGGGAGAGAGTTTCTGGGTAAGAGTAGATTCACCGCTGCACATCAACAATGAGTAAATCTAATGCTTAGGAAGTACATTCGTATGCTTGAAGACGTTCAACAGCTTGTTGATCCGTTACGAAACATCCAAATACTTGCTGAAGTGTCACAAAACCACCAGTTCGCTCTTTGTACTGTAGTTCTTTGGATTGTAACAACATCTGTTCCAAAAGTTATTGCCGTTATTTGGGTCGTGCCAATATATCCAGTAATCAGGAAAGATTTGACGTTTTCACATGAAGGAAATGAAGGAAACTTTCACATGAATATCCAGCATGGCTGCAAGGGTTAGTAATTCCTTTCAAGACATTCCCAAGGTTCTACTGCTTTGCTGACTCTCTGTCTTTTCAGAGTGGGAACCTAATAAGTGACGCTTTACTCCACATGAATACGTTTGAAGGAGGAAACGTAGCGACAATTAGGAAAAGGAGGTCGCATAATACAGCCAAGGAAAAAAGTGAGCCTCTTGGTTTTGTTGTCAATCAAAACAACGCCGTTGCGGTCTTTATTTTTTTGAGTTCTTTTGTATGGCCCTTTTTTCAGCTTCCCCCATTTCCTCCCTTCTTGCCCCCTTCCCCTCTTTTTTCGCTGTTCTCTGCCAGTGGGGGTTGATTAGTGGCAGAACCTGATGGATTCTGACCCTATTCAACTTTACATTGGCACGACAGCATTCCCTGTTCCCTTTCTCCCTCCGCAGAGTTGAGTGAGTGTGAATGTTGTCTTGTCCTGAGTCATCTTTGTCCTCTTTCGTGGATGCGGATCGATTACACAAACTCCGCTCAAGAGTACACTGCGCATCCCAGCGTTGGTGAAGCACATTGAACCTAGCGTGCTTGGATCACCTTCTAAATCGATTTGTTCAGATCTGATTGCCCACTCAATTGTTCATGTCGAAAAGGATGAAACGTACTCAGAAGTTAGGATGCGAGCATATGCGGTTTCGATGAGCACGATGAGGACGCTGAAGGACAGGTTCATCTACATCGACAGTGATCTCTTTGAATAATTGTTTGTTATTAGAGTTCATTGCACGCATTAATAAATGAGTGTTCGTTGAAGTGTTGCGTGGAGAATACATGAAACACACCTAGGTGACCACTGCGTGACCATGATAAGTAGGATAGGTGGCATGCCATACGTCATCAATCCATTATCGATGACGTGTAGTGTGTCATAGGAAGGGATTCCCTAGGAGTTATCGTCGCCCTTTCTCTTAGTTTCTCCGGTCTCTTAAATTCACATTAAGAGTAGTGGGGAGAATATTATAGCGTGTTCTTTAGATACTCTCCCAAAAATGAAGAGATTTTGTGTCTTCTGCGAGAACACAAGGATGGGAAGTTGCTGAAATATAGCTCTGCTTCAAAG